ACGTTGCTAGAGTTTCAATTAGAAGCAACAGTGATCAAGTGCTCTTCTAATAGAACTTCTAGAAACCCGTAAACTCAATTAACATCCTAGAAATTAAATCCTATACCCATATAACCACATAAGAATGTTATCTTGTAAGCACAATGTACAGACTAAAGTCTCTATCAAGCAAGAAAAAATTGTGGCAATAACCACTTCCCACGTACCCAAAGTATTCAAATCTAGTACGCTTTGATACCAAGTTTTAACACCCTAAAATAAATATGATAAACCCATCTCTTAAGCAGAAGTAAAATTGGAACAACATACTTTCATTCATCAGAGTTAATATACAAAAGGGTGACACATGTGATATACATTCATAAATAGCTTATCCTGAATCTACAGCATGTGTTACAATTAGTAAAAGGAATGAAAGCTAAACAGATATTCATATGCCCTAAAGGCTTACATCTTTCCAAGTCACTGCTTGGTTACAACAAAACCGAGTCTAGATTAATGCAATCAAGCCCTTGGCTATACGAAATAACTACAATAGAAAAGAAGCTCTTACTCCAAATCCCTCCAAGCTACTGTCTTGGCAGAGGAATATCACCAACACTTGAAAATGGTTTTTACCAAATAGGGTGAGCCAAAGCACAGTAGAAACAATCTAACACAATATATGAATCTTAAGAACGATATGAGTATGAGATGCATATCTAATGCCCATAATAAAACCATTTACAACTCTTTTTGCAAAACTATGCCATGCCAAGTTTTATATCACAATTCATGTTATCTCAATTTTCTTTTATCTTAATTCATTCTATCTCAATTCATAAGTCATTCAGCATGTTATTCAAACTACTGAACTGAGAGTGGAACTCAGTGGGTCTCCAACCAACACAACCATTATACAGACACTTACATTGCCATTTTACAGATATTTCGTCCGCAGGAATCGGCACCAATGTATACGCGCGATTTTCGAAACTTTCACCCGGACACACAGGCCAACTTAATTCAATGGAGTCCATCCCATTTCTTCTCCCAAACATGAAGTACATCCTTTTTCTCCTCCCACATATCATACATTTACAATGTATTAAAAACATAGTCATATTCAATGTCAACGGATAAGAGATTAGTTTCAATTCACCTAATCCTCATGTAATTTCTACAACAATCATAGCTATCCTCCATCGATAGCCCAAAACAGATATTTCTAAACAGATATACAATCTCCAAGACAAATAAATTATCCAAATTTTCATAAGTGAGAGGTAATACATATCCAACTTCACCATTTATATAAGCATCCATCCAATTTCATATTCTTGATGCCAATTTCATTTATTTCTACAAAATAACTATTTGAGACTTTTTAGGGCAAAACCTCATTTTCTTCCAAAACCCATCCTGAGTATCAAAATAAACATATTTATCACAACACAACCTCACATCTAATCCCATAACCATTTTTAACGCATACATTTGAAAACCCCTATTTTGATTTTAAGCCAAAACCCTAGATTTGTTCAAAATCACCTCAAGTTTTAATATTTCTTATACATCAACAAATAACTAAGTTAAAACTTATAGAAGAGTGTAGATTGTCCCTACCTCGAAGCTAAAGATCAAGGTGAAAGTGGAGATACCTCAAATGAACCGAAACCCACTTTTGTTCGGATGAAAAGCGAGCCAATGGCATGCTCTACCTTTCTAACAAAGGCACACTGATGGAGAAACCACTAGATCTAGATGAAAATGTAGAGAGAATGCAGGTTTTAGAGAGGGAGAGTCTCAACTTTAGGGTTTTGAGAGAAAAGATATGAAAAAGTGATATAAAAAGTCACTTTCACGAACAGATATACGCACAGTCTGCTCGAGCGTCAAGCACAATAAGTTGTTTCGCTCGAGCGAGCGCAAAAAGTGACGCGCGAGCGCAGAATACATATTCCCAGTAGTTTTGCAGATCACAGACCACTGCTCGAGCGCAAGAAAGGCCACTCGAGTTGAGATCGCTCGAGCGTAAAATACGCTCTTCTAATAGTTTTGCAGACCTGCAAAAGTACTGAGAGTTCGCAAATCCCGTTCAGTGCGAGAAGTGCTGCTCTAGCGGAGGAGCAAAATTCTGGGCAACAAAAGTTTGGAAACTAAGCAACCAACTTGTCCTAACTACAACCACAACAACCCAATAGCCAAATTTAAAGAAATACAAAGGAAGCAAGATATGAATAATCATACGAAATTATGAAATCCGAATTCAAAATACAATAAGGGTCAAGTCAAAATCAGAATCACTATAGAATGCCTTTTGTTTTGTTTGTAGTACTCTTTGAAAAATATTTCAAGCTTTGTTTTTAGGCTTGTCAATTAGTAGTAAAGCCTATGACACTATTGCAAAGCCTACTCTAGAAGGCCTTAACTCTCATAAATCATTGTGTGCACCACGTGTCCAATGTGGGTGCAAACTTTTAAGGGAAGTGATTGAGACCTCCTCCAATTACCAAACCCCACTACCCCCCACACACGTGGCGGGTGGTGATTAAAGGAGAAGGAAAAAAAAAAAAAAAACTGGCCAATCAAAGAGAGAGGAGGTCAAAGGGGGTGCCTCCTTGGGGGGCAAAGGGGATGCCTCCTTGAGGGGTCCAACTCATTTTTCAACTTTTAAATACTAAACCGAAAATCATCCTGCACGTGTAATGTCTTATGACATATTGGGAGTTGTCAAAAACTTCTTCATCCAATAGAGAGGAGAATGAGGCTCATCTCCTTTGAATTTCATATTGAGAAAACTGGTTTATGGTAAACTCATAAATCATTCATGCAAAAATATCAAATGATTGAATATTAATAATTATATAATTAGATTATATTTATTTAAAAATATAAATAATAAATATGATTTTGATAATAAATTATTTATTTTAAATATGATCTAAACATGTGCTATCAATATCTAATTATTTTAATTTTTGAGAAAATTACAACCAAAAAAAAAAAAAAAAAATCTAAAGTTTGATTTTTGCAAAAAAATAAATCTTGAGTTTTTAATTTTTTTAATTTAAATTCTAAATTTTGATTTATTTTCAATTTAAACCATTTTCTTATTTTCTTTAACTAAAATAGATAGAAAAATGAGTATTCAGTTATTAAACTCAATGATAAAAGTATTTTAGACATTTATAGATACATACATTGAATTTAATGATTAAAATACTTTTTTTTTTTATTTGTTTTATTTAATGAAAATAGACGAATGATTTATACTGAAAACAAATCAAATATTATGGTTTAAATTAACAAAATTAAAATATTAAAATTTATTTTTTTACAAAGTTAAAACCTTAGGTTTATTTATTTTTAATTTTCCTTTAATTTTTTTTATATAAATGTTATATTCAGTGAATATTACAACAAGATGAATAGTTTACCCAAAATGAACCCACCGAAGCTTGACATCACCTCTCCAGTTGTATTCATCCAATCCTGTTATTCTTAGGTAGTACGTGAAAAGATATTACCAAATGCTTCCACTTATGTTTTTGGCTCAAATTAGATTGCGGGCTTATCTCATTAGTTTTTGTTGTTGTAGACAAATAGATTTTTAGCAAGTTTATTCTAGATTCATGATTTTATGAATTTAATTCACAAATATTTTAATGTCGTGTTTGGATAATAAATTTAGATAGGAATTTAAAAAGAAAATAGAAAAAAGATAAGTGAAATATGAATGAAACATATCCTAATTTTTTTCAATATTTTTTTTCTTTCCAAATTATTATTTAAATCTATAATTCAAACACAATATAAGGACCTGTTTGGATATAAATGAATTTTAAACTAGAGATTTGACGTTAATCATTCAAGAACATTAACTCAAATTTAAATTTAATAATTTATTAATGAATTTCATGATTGAGTTAAGTACTTAAATCTTGATGGATTTTAAATCATCATATAAAACTAGTAATTCAAATCGGAAAGCCTATGGTGAGCACCCAATAATTTTCTATTGAAATTATGCTAAGGATTCTATTTCTAAATATATGTTCTATCTCAACTTATCTTCTTTCTTTCTATGTATTTAACCACTAATTCCTTGATTTAAAATATACAATTATCCAAATTGGTCCTAAAGTTGTGTTTGAATAATAAATTTGAATAAGAACTTATACACAACAAAAAAAAAAAAAAGAAAAAAAAATCATATTCCATTCACATTTTCTTTACCTTCTCTTTTTCAAATTCCTAACCAAATCTATGAATCAAACACATCGTTAATAAAAAATAAGTTTTGTCGACTTTAAATCTTTAATTTTCATTTTCTTATTAGACATAAATATACATGTTCTACAAGTATAATATTTTCTCAACCCCAAGGGGTTGGTCTAGTGAGTGTTACTTGGGGTCTAAGAGTATGCTTCATTTAGGTCTCAGGATCAATTTTTTTAGGAGCAATCCGCTCCTCGCGACTACGCTCGTGGGCTTTCCCCGATCCACGTAGAGAGAGTGTTTTGCGTAAGTCCCCAAAATAGTCAAAAAATAATAATAATAAATAAAGTACAATATTTTCTCGCTTTCACATTTATATTATTATTTTTTTCACTTTGTACTTCAATTTAGTGGCACATATTAATTTTTCTGTTTAAGTATTTTACAGCAACCACATTGACTAAAAACAATAGTTTAAGTACTAAATTGAATGCAAAAGTATTGTAGATGCCGAGTGTAATTTATATCATTTTTCTTTTTCTTCTCTCTTAATTGCAGATAAAGGGAGCTTCTATCTTCTCAAATTTGAATCTCAGGCCTGATGGTTGAGATATTGACTTTCGAAGTTGAAAGATAAGAAACTTGACATTTACCACAAGTCTTGACTAGCTTCTATTGCAATATTTACATTGTTTCTATTGTTAGCATTTGCTTTGAACCTCTGTTTTCTACCATATCCTTCCACTTTCCAAAAAAAAAAGAAAACCTTACGAAGAGATAAGAAAAAGAGTGAATTGAAAATGTGTAGTCCCCAAACCATACTGGATAAGATTGTGGACAAAATTGTTGCTAAAGTGATCCAATCGGTGGTGAGTCATATCCGTTTTGTTACTTGCTACAAAGGAAACCTGGAGAAGTTGGATGCTGAAAAGAAGAACCTGGAAGGTCAGTGGCTAAAAGTCAATGAAGACGTTGATAAATACAAGACCCTTGGTGAAGACATTGAGGCTAATGTTTCAAACTGGCTAACAGAGGCGGACAAGATGATAAAAGAAGTTGAGGAATTTGAGAAACACAAAACCGATAAGGAAAGCATGCAATGCTTTAAATTTTCGTGTCCCGACTACATCTCGCGCTACAAATTGAGCAAGCAAGCAGAAAGGAAGATTGGTGATATCAAGAATCTCACTCAAGAAGGAAAATTTGACAAAGTTTCACATCGTAAACCACCTCCTCAGAAACTTTTATTCCCATCCAGTGCTCATTTTGTAAGTTTGGATTATATGAGTTTTGATTCCAGAGAATCGGTTTTCAAGAGGATCATGGATGCATTAAAAGATTCCAAGGTTTACAAGATTGGGGTACATGGACTAGGAGGGGTAGGTAAGACAAAAATGGTTGAAGAGGTTGGCAAACAAGTGAAAAAAGATGGACTTTTTGATGAAGTTGTGATGGCAGTAGTCTCTCAAGATGCAAATGTGAGAAAAATTCAATTGCAGTTGGTTGGGGGTTTGAATCCAAAACCTGATGTAGTGACAATTACTGATGAACATGAGAGAGCAAAAGAATTGTGGCTTAGATTGGACAATGGGAAGAAAAATCTAATAATATTGGATGATATTTGGCATGAACTAAGCTTGGACACAATAGGTATTCCTATCACAGGTAGGAACAAAGTTGTGATAACGTCTCGAAATCAAGATGTGTGGAAAAATATGGAAATGGATACAGAAATTCAGATCAAAGTACTATCAGAGCCAGAAGCATGGGCCCTATTCAAGAACAAGGTGGGAGATTCTGTTGATTCTGATCAAGAACTACATGATATAGCAAAAGAGGTGTGTAAAGAGTGTCAAGGTTTGCCAGTTGCTATACTTGTAGTTGGAGGTGCATTAAAAGGTAAGCAGAAGTGTGTTTGGAAAAACGCACTTGAGAAGCTGAAAAAGTCTATGCTACAGAAAATTGAGGGAATTAGCCCAATGTTGTATGACTCCCTGAAGTTGAGCTATGTTTATTTATCTGAGGATGCGAAATCATGCTTCTTGCTCTGTTGTATGTTTCCTGAAGATGCCGAGATTCCAATTGAGGAATTGGTGAGACATTGCATGGCGAGAAGGTTGCTTGCTCAAAAGCCGGATACACTCGAAGAAGCAAGAGATACAGTATGTACAGTGGTCAATACGCTCAAAACTTGTTCTTTGTTGTTAGATGGCACAGATGAAAACGTTGTAAAAATGCATGATGTCATTCGAGATGTTGCTGTTTCAATTGCTGATGATGAAAAGGCAATTCTTGTAAAACATGGTGTTCATGAGTGGCCGGAAAAAGGTACGTATGAATCTTACTTGGCAATCTCATTAAGGTCCAAAACTGTTCATGAGGTTCCCAATAAATTGGGATGTTCACAACTCCACACCTTATTGTTGGAATGTATCGATCCCTTGGTTACTATTCCAGACATGTTTTTCGATGGGATGGAGAAACTTACAGTTTTAGAATTGAATGGAGTACGTATGTTGCAACTTCCACCATCACTTGCAAATTTGGTTAACCTTCGGATGTTATGTCTACATAAATGCCAGTTGGGAGACATAACTATACTCAAGGATCTAAAGAACAACCTTGAAGTGCTTAGCCTTCGGGGTTCTGATATCAAGGCCTTACCATCAGAGATTGGACAATTGACTCAACTTCGGTTGTTAGATTTGAGAGATTGTTACAAACTCTCAAAGATTCCAAAAGGTGTCATATCCAATTTGTCTCGCCTGGAAGAACTATACATTTTAAATAGCTTTGTGGGATTGGAGGATGCTACAGTCAACAAGGAACTTGATAAGTTGGGTAAGTTAACGCCATTAACCACTTTACATATACACATACCAAATGCCATGCTACTGCCTAAAGAGATCTGCTTTAAAAACTTGATCAGATTTATAATATCAACGGGTGAAAGGTCTGGTAATTTGGAATATCAGTCATCAACAAGGATATTTAAACTTGTAGGCGTTCCCTTAAGGGATGAGTTTAATGTTTTGTTGGAGAGAGCAGAAGTGCTTCATTTGGAAAAAGTGGAAGGCTTACAGAAGGTGTATCACAGACTATATCCATCAGGGTCCTTCAATAAATTAACTGTATTAACAATTAAATATTGTAAGTTGAAATATCTCTTCTCCCCATCATGCGCAAGAGGACTTCTGCAAATTCAACGACTAGTAATAAAAGATTGTGAGGTCATGGAAGGAATTGTTGGAAATGAAGGAGAAGAAAATGAAGAGGCAGTCACAAGTGAGGCAATTAATTTTAGTCAATTGAAATATATGGAGTTGAGAAGTCTACCCAGCCTCGTAAGCTTCTACCCCAAAATGGAGAAGACAACGACAGCAAAGGAAAATTCATCAACCCAAGCACACTCTCTCTTTAATGAAAAGGTATGTTTCGTCAATAACTTTTTTATGTGCTTTCAATCCTTTATAGCTAATTATTTGAAATGTTTTATGTGTTAGGGAATATAGCAATATAGTGAGTCTTATCCCTCCAAACTTTTATGTGATTTGGTATGCTCCTGCCACATAAAACTTTTCATTCATTATTTTATTTATTTATTTATTTATTTCTTTTTTTAATTTCTTTCTTTTTTCTGGGTAAAAAGACTCAAAGTTAAGGTCTTTTAAATAAAATCCAAATTATTTGGGGGAAATACACACCTTGAAATGGATGTATGGTATGCATACATAGTTATGCCATTTTTTTTATTTAGTTATGATTAATTTTCTTCTTTAGTTATCACATTATTTTAGTTGTGATTCATGAGATCTTTAGTTATGCCTCATATATTGTTCAGTTATAATTTTTTTTTTTTTTAATTTTAACTATGACACAAAAATATGAAGTTATATCATTTTATTGTTTAGTTATCAAGCGCATATGGTACACACCTTTTGAAAGGTGTGTACCATAGTCTTTCCCAATTATTTGTCCAAAAAAATATCACCAAAGCTCTTGTCACCAAATTATACATAAGAAATGTGTCGATCTTGATTAACATGAGAACCCTGTTAGTAGAGTAAGGCAATGTTTGGCATGTATCTCAGTTAATGTGATTAGTTCCATGTAAAATATCACACGAGATAATATTCAAGTATGGTCATTCTAATAGTAGTCATTTAATATATGTGGCTCATTTGATAAGCTTTGTAGGCATCCAATATTAGCCAATTAAAAATTATCACGTGTTATAAAGATCTAAAAAATATGACATAATTATTGTCAAATCTAATTCTGTCACGTGTCTAATTGGTCTAAAATCAAGATTATACAGTGGGCAAATCAAATTTTGCAATATGTTAAAATCATGTAGTTTCAAGTAAAGAAGTCTCTGCTAATCAAATTAAGCCACTTGTCACATTGGGTAGTTAAGTCGATAAAATTATGGCACATTATTAAAGTGATATTTTGAAATTTATCTTCATACAAATAGAGAGATAAATATTAATGAAATAATATTTTAGTACTTATCGCTAAATAATTAAGGATGGCTTAGAGTTAAAGACTTGAGAATAACTCTGTAACAAAAAAGACTTGAGAATAAGATCCATAACAAAAAAGACTTGAGAATAAGATCAAAGGTTTTGAGTTCGAGTCACTATAAGGGGTCACTGGAGGTCTATTTGGTGGTTAATTTCAGGACATTAGTTGAGGTACTCCCAAATTAATCTGAACACCCAATTATCAAAAAATAATAATAGTAATAATTAAGGATATTTATCAAAAAGTTAGACTCTATCAAGACTCCTTTTTACCAACAGATATAAATAACTGTGATCTTCGAAATTTTTTTACACACAATTCTATACACAAATCAAGTAGAAAGAAAGATTCATCGGATTGAAACCAGAAAGTCCAGAAGAACTTTCCTCGCACAAGCATTTGATTTCAAGGCAATTGTTCGTGTCGAAGCTCATCTCAATCTCACACTCCAACCTTAGATTTTTTTTTTTTTTTTTTTGTGAATCTCTATGAAATTGTTGTATTCTTCTACTAAATTGCAAAATGTTTTGCAATTTGATTTGGAAACAACTTTCCTTATTTTTATCACATTTTTCTTTCATCATTTGATAGCTTTGTATTTAATTAATTTGTGGATTTTAAGGCATAATTTGAAATAACTAATACTTTTCTTTTCTTTTCTTTTCTTTTTTTGAAATCGTCAAAAAAATTTTTTTTAAAGTTCTATGTTCACCATTGTTTTCTCTCATTTTGCACTTTTAATCTGCCGAACCCATCAATTTTGAGAAAGGGTGAATTTATAGTGGGTTGAAATTTTCTTAATATGTTCAATTGATGATTTGCTTTCAAAACAACCAAACCAACTCGTGAACAACACCTATTGCACAATAAGGACAAAAGGTTGCACTAATGCCACAAAAAGATTTATTACTTTCAATCTATTATAGTTTCCTTTACATGAAACAGAATCATTAATTGCTATGGAACCAACAATTTAAGTTTTGGCATTAATTGGAACATAGTAAAATCAATTTATTGGACTTAAATGATTGACTAATTATGACTAACATCAATTTATTGGGCAATATTTTACTGCTTGTTATAATGCTGGCCTTGGAGTCTAATGTTTAACAATTATGTTATGAATGTTGCAGGTCACGTTCCCTGCCTTGGAGGAATTGTCTATTCATGGACTACCAAAGCTGACAGAGATAAAAGAAGTATTAGAGAATGGGGAAAAAGAAGAAAAAGCAGAAAACAACACTAGTACCATATCGTTCCCTCACCTAACAAGAATGAATTTTGATAATTTGGAGAGCCTCAAAAGCTTTTGCACCTCTAGATCTGAAACACAATCCTTCTTTACTAGCCAGGTATGAATGTCCTTATCATTTTTTGTTGCACATGACCCGTAAAATCAAAAACACATATGTGTATGTATGCATCTTTGTATGTATTTTACTTAGATTAGGCTTCCCTTCTGTTCATAATCTAGATTCAAATATGTTGTTTGGGCCCGTGGGCTCACAACGAGTCTTATTTCAATTATTCAAATAGTGCCTTTTTTAGGATTTTTGGTTTATATCACCTGCAAAAAAATTAAATCAATTTGATAATTTAAGCCATTTTAATTTATCGTGTTTGTCATTAAACAAATGGATGGTTTTTTTTATTTTATTATTATCATTATTAATAAAATAGTAAAATTCAAGGTTTCATAATTTTCATAAAAAATTGTACCAATTTTAATTTTATCCCTACATGATGTAAGACTTACTTTTTATAATACATCTGTATCTCATTTTTTTGTTTAGTCCTCTACATACTTAGGCTGATTGATCTTGCAACTATGGCTTGCTATATCGATCCATAAAAATTCTACAAGAGTCCCATAACAGTGCAAATTATTCCATTCACACCATACTTACTAACTGAAGGTGAAATAGAATTGCAATTGCCTTAAATGAGTTGAAAAGCGAAAATAATAAAACCTGATTAATTTTTTTTTCTTTTCCATACATCAACTGTTTACACGAATCATAAAATTTTCGATATCTAAAATTATGAAAAATTATAAATACACTCTTTGAGATTTGCTAAAAATATAGATTGCTTCCTATAGTTCTAGAAATTGTCAAAAAAATTTATCTAGCAGAATTAACAGAAAAATAAAATCTCTAACTACTCTCTTATATAACAATAAAATTACTTGAATTGTTAATTGAAATATATTTATGGCATTATTAAAAAATGTTAATTGACTTGATAATTTATTAATGACATGAGCCATTTGTTATACGCCTGGAAACTTGAAAGAGCAAGATGTAATTTCTAAAATCACACAGGGTAATCTATATTTTAAATAAATATCAAATGGTGTCTTTTATAAGGGATTTGGCTTGTCTCTGATTGATAGTTCAACTGGAATAGACAGTTAAGGTATCTTACCGGTAATAGTCATTAAACAGAGGTCTCTTACTAGTAAGAGTTTATAAAATGCACTGGCCCAATATTTTTACTCTTTGTTTAGTTAAATCTTTTCAAAAACTCTTAGCGGTAAGAGACCTTTGTCTAATGACATTTATCAGTAAGAGATCTCAACTGTCTGGTTGATTTGAAATTTCAACTGGAGAAAAGCGATTCCCTTTTATAAAATCATGGAACACATATTATCAAAGTCAAATAGAAAAATTGACGATGAAATGTGAAAATAATGTGAAGGATGATCTTCTTTCCGTTTGTACTTTTAATCTGCCATACCAATCATTTTGAGAAAGGGTGAATTTATAGTGGGTTGAAATTTTCTTAATATGTTCAATTGATGATTTGCTTTCAAAACAATCAAACCAACTCGTGAACAACACCTATTGCACAATAAGTACAAAAGGTTGCACTAATGCCACAAAAAATTTATTACTTTCAATCTATTATAGTTTCCTTTACATGAAACAGAATCATTAATTGTTATGGAACCAACAATTTAAGTTTTGGCATTAATTGGAACATAGTAAAATCAAATTATTAGACTTAAATGATTGACTAATTATGACTAACTTCAATTTATTGGGCAATATTTTACTGCTTGTTATAATGCTGGCCTTGGAGTCTAATGTTTAACAATTATGTTATGAATGTTGCAGGTCACGTTCCCTGCCTTGGTGGAATTGTATATTGCTGAACTACCAAAGCTGGCAGAGATATGGGATAGGAAATTACTTCCATTAGAGTTCTTTAAAGAATTGAGAGATGTGACCATCTGGAGCTGTGAGAAATTGGTGAATGTCGGTTCGTCCAATATGCACCGACAATTACCGAAACTAAAAGAACTTTATGTTCGGGATTGTCAAGAGCTGAAAGTAGTAGTATTGGAGAATGGGAAAAAAGAAGAAAAAGCAGAAAACAACACTAGCACCATATCGTTCCCTCACCTAACCAGAATGAATTTTAATAATCTGGAGAGCCTCAAAAGCTTTTGCACCTCTAGATCTAAAACACAATCCCTCTTCACTAGCCAGGTATGAATGTCCTTATCATTTTTTGTTGCACATGGCCCCTAAAACCAGAAACACATATGTATATGTATGCATCTTTGTATGTATTTTACTTAGATTAGGTTTCCCTCCTGTGCATAATCTAGATTCAAATATGTTGTTTGGGTCGGTGGGCTCACAACGAGTCTTATTTCAATTATTTGAACTGTGCCTTTTTTAGGATTTTTGGTTTATATCAACTGCAAAAAAATTAAATCAATTCAATAATTTAAGCCATTTTAATTTTTTGTGTTTGTCATTAAACAAATGGATGTTTTTATTTATTTATTATTATTAATAATAAAATAGTAAAATTCAAGGTTTCATAATTTTCATAAAAAATTGTACCAATTTTAATTTTATCCCTACATGATGTAAGACTTACTTTTTATAATACATCTGTGTCTCATTTTTTGTTTTGTCCTCTAGATACTTGGCCTGATTGATCTTGCATCTATGGCTTGCTATATCCATCCATAAAAATTCTACAAGAGTCCCATAACCGTGCAAATTGTTCCATTCACACCATACTTACTCACTGAAGGTGAAATAGAATTGCAATTGCCTTAATTGAGTTGAAAAGTGAAAACAATAAAACCTGATTAATTTTTATTTTTTTCTTTTCCATAGGTCAAATGTTTACACGAATCATTAAATTTTCTATATTTAAAATTATGAAAATTTATAAATACACTCTTTGAGATTTGCTAAAAATATAGATTGCTTCCTATAGTTCTAGAAATTGTCAAAAAAATTTATCTAACAGATAACAAAAAAAAAAATCTTTAACTACTCTCTTATATGACAATAAAATTATTTGAATTGTTAATTGAAATATATTTATGGCATTATTAAAAAAATTTAATTGACTTGATAATTTATTAATGACATGAGTCATTTGTTAGACGCCTGAAAACTTGAAAGAGCAAGATGTAATTTCTAAAATCACACAGGGTAATCTGTATTTTAAATAAATCTCAAATGATGTCTTTTATAAGGGATTTGGCTTGTCTCTAGTTGACAGTTCAAATGGAACAGACAGTTAAGGTATCTTACCGGTAATAGTCATTAAACGGAGGTCTCCTACCAGTAAGAGTTTATAAAATGCATGGGCCCAATATTTTTACTCTTGGTTTAGTTAAATCTTTTCCAAAACTCATAGCGGTAAGAGACCTCTAATGACATTTATCAGTAAGAAATCTCAACTGTCTGGTTGAGTTTAAATTTCAACTGGAGAAAAGCGATTCCCTTTTATAAAGTCATAGAGCACATATTATCAAAGTCAAATAGAAAAGTTGACGATGAAATGTGAAAATAATGTGAAGGATGATTTTATTTCCGTTTGTAGTTTTAATCTGCCGAACCCATCAATTTTGAGAAAGGGTGAATTTATAGTGGGTTGAAATTTTCTTAATATGTTCAATTGATGATTTGCTTTCAAAACAATCAAACCAACTTGTGAACAACACCTATTGCACAATAAGTACAAAAGGTTGCACTAATGCCACAAAAAATTGATTACTTCCAATCTAATATAGTTTCCTTTACATGAAACAGAATCATTAATTGTTATGGAACCAACAATTTAAGTTTTTGCATTAATTGGAACATAGTAAAATCAATTTATTGGACTTAAATGATTGAGTAATTATGACTAACATCAATTTATTGGGCAAAATTTTACTGCTTGTTATAATGCTGGCCTTGGAGTCTAATGTTTAACAATTATTTTATGAATGTTGCAGGTCATGTTCCCTGCCTTGGTGGATTTGTTTATTTCTGGACTACCAAAGCTGACAGAGATATGGGATAGGAAATTACTTCCATTAGAGTTCTTTAAAGAATTGAGAGACGTGACCATCTTGTTCTGTGAGAAATTGGTGAATGTCGGTCCGTCCAATATGCACCGACAATTACCGAAACTAAAGGGACTTCATGTTTGGGGATGTCAAGAGCTGAAAGTAGTAGTGTTGGAGAATGGGGAAAAAGATGAAAAAGCAGAAAACAACACTAGTACCATATCATTCCCTCACCTAACAAGAATGAATTTGAATAATTTGGAGAGCCTCGAAAGCTTTTGCACCTCTAGATCTGAAACACAATCCCTCTTCACTAGCCAGGTATGAATGTCCTTATCATTTTTTGTTGCGCATGGCCCCTAAAGCCAGAAACACATATGTATAGGTAGGCATCTTTGTATTTAGATTAGGTTTCCCTCCTGTGCATAATCTAGATTGAAATATGTTGTTTGGGTCGGTGGGCTTACAACGAGTCTTATTTCAACTATTCGAACGGTGCCTTTTTTAGGATTTTTGGTTTATATCATCTGCAAAAAAAAATTAAATCAATTCGATAATTTTAACCTTTTTAATTTATCATGTTTGTCATTAAACAAATTGATGGTTTTTTTTATTCATTTATTATTATTATTAATAAAATAGTAAAATTCAAGGTTTCATAATTTTCAAAAAAAAATTGTACCAATTTTAATTTTATCCCTACATGATGTAAGACTTACTTTTTATAGAACATCTGTATCTCATTTTTGGTTTAGTCCTCTACATACTTAGGCTGATTGATCTTGCAACTATGGCTTGCTATATCGATCCATAAAAATTCTACAAAAGTCCCATAACAGTGCAAATTATTCCATTCGCGCCATACTTACTAACTGAAGGTGAAATAGAATTGCAATTGCCTTAAATGAGTTGAAAAGTGAACAATAAAACCTGATTAATTTTTATTTTTTTTCTTTTCCATAGGTCATATGTTTACACGAATCATAAAATTTTCTATATTTGAAATTATGAAAAATTATAAATACACTTTTTGAGATTTGCTAAAAATATATGTTGCTTCCTATAGTTCTAGAAATTATCAAAAAAATTTATCTAACAGAATTAACAGAAAAATAAAATCTCTAACTACTCTCTTATATAACAATAAAATTACTTGAATTGTTAATTGAAATATGTTTATGGCATTATTAAAAAATGTTAATTGACTTGATAATTTATTAATGACATGAGTCATTTGTTATATGCTTGAAAAATTGAAAGTGCAAGATGCAATTTCTAAAATCACACAGGGTAATCTGTATTTTAAATAAATCTCAAATGGTGTCTTTTATAAGGGATTTGGCTTGTCTCTAATTGATAGTTCAAATGGAACAGACAGTTAATGTATCTTACCAGTAATAGTCATTAAATGGAGGTCTCTTACCAGTAAGAGTTTATAAAATGCATTGGCCCAATATTTTTACTCTTGGTTTAGTTAAATCTTTTCATAAACTCTTAGCAGTAAGAGACCTCTATTTAATGACATTTATTAGTACGAGATCTCAACTGTTTGGTTAAGTTGAAATTTCAACTGGAGAAAAGCGATTCCCTTTCATAAAATCATAGAACACATATTATCAAAGTCAAATAGAAAAATTGACGATGAAATGTGAAAATAATGTGAAGGATGATTTTCTTTCCGTTTGTACTTTTAATCTGCCGAACCCATCAATTTTGAGAAAGGGTGAATTTATCGTGGGTTGAAATGTTCTTAATGTGTTCAATTGATGATTTGCTTTCAAAACAATCAAACCAACTCGTGAACAACACCTATTGCACAATAAGGACAAAAGGTTGCACTAATGCCACAAAAAGATTTATTACTTCCAATCTATTATAGTTTCCTTTACATGAAACAAAATCATTAATTGTTATGGAACCAACAATTTAAGTTTTGGCATTAATTGGAACATAGTAAAATCAATTTGTTGGACTTAAATGATTGACTAATTATGACTAACATCAATTTATTGGGCAATATTTTACTGCTTGTTATAATGCTGGCCTTGGAGTCTAATGTTTAACAATTATGTTATGAATGTTGCAGGTCACGTTCCCTGCCTTGCAGGAATTGTTTATTAGTGAACTACCAAAGCTGACAGAGATATGGGATAGGAAATTACTTCCATTAGAGTTCTTTAAAGAATTGAGAGATGTGACCATCTGGGGCTGTGAGAAATTGGTGAATGTCGGTTCGTCCAATATGCACCGACAATTACCGAAACTAAAAGGACTTTATGTTCGGGATTGTCAAGAGCTGAAAGTAGTAGTGTTGGAGAATGGGGAAAAAGAAGAAAAAGCAGAAAACAACACTAGTACCATATCGTTCCCTCACCTAACCAGAATGAATTTTAATAATCTGGAGACCCTCAAAAGCTTTTGCACCTCTAGATCTGAAACACAATCCCTCTTCACTAGCCAGGTATGAATGTTCTCATTCTTTTTTGTTGCACATGACCAGTAAAACCAGAAACGTATATATACATATATGTATATGTATGTATGTATGTTTGTACGTATTTTACTTAGATTAGGCTTCCCTCCTGCCTAAAATCTAGATTCAAATGTGTTGTTCGGGCCCGCGGGCATACTACGAGTCTCATTTCAATTATTTGAACATAGCATTTTTTAGGATTCTTTGTTTATATCATCCACACAAAAATTTAAATCAATTTGATAATTTTAGCCTTCTCAATTTATCCTGTTTGTCATTATAAAAAAATAATTTTTTTATTTTTATTTTTAAAATGCACTTATCATTCATTTTTTTGGATACAATTGTAATAAATTAAACAAGCTAAGATTATTGGAATGATTTTCTTTTTCTTTTTTTTATTTTTTGTTAAGATGATATACACTAACTAAGGACTATACAAAAATAAAAATTTAAATCATCAAAACATGACCCATGGTGGACTCCCACGATCCAAAAGGCTCACTTGTTGGGCATGTATAGGTAATGTCTATTTATTTTGAATCTTTCATGTTACGCCCTAGGAAAACACCCCCCAAATCCTCTTCCCCTATCTCATTCCACATAGATACAAACAGTAGATAAACAAATATTGATACAATTCTACAACACTTCTTTCCCATTGAACTATTTTCAAGCTTTACAACATTGTCTCATTACATTCATAAACAAAATAAAATTGTTCAACAAGTAAGAAATGATACAACAAAAATCAGTTACAAGTTAATTTTCCCTCAAAAGTTTTCCTTTGGTATACCAAAACACAAGTCGGCATATAGTGACCGAAACTGCATCAACCACACATATAGCATGGTTTCAAACAAAAGCTTTCACACCCCAAAAGTTTTCATCTTCCCAAAACAGTCACTTAGGAGGTACTTCACCTTCGTTTCATGAAAATGGTTAGCTTTGGGGTGAGCAAAACTTAGTAGAGGTAATGCATTTAATAGGTTATAACATCAATTGAAAAACACATGATCATGCAATGTAACCATTTGGTGAATTGATATATATATATATATATATATACATATATGTATAGGTACATTTATGCATGAGTATGAAATGACAACGTTAAGATCTTTCGTTGGCGGTAAATATACTATGACATCCCGAGTAAAGGTCGTAATTCAAAATACATACATAGATATAGATTTTGTATACTGAAAATAGTCCCACATTTGCCAACTCCAGAAACGGCGGGCAATGGGCCCTAAAAACATTTTTCTTCTACATTTGTCGACTCTAGAAATGGTGGGGACGTGGACACCCAAAACCATGTTTTTCCACATTTGCTGACTCCAGAAACGGCGAGCTTGTGGACACCCAAAAACATTTTCCCACATTCGTCCGGCAGCATATGTAGATAGGTAAATTGGGCACCTTGACTCCCGTGTGGGTATCAAATACAATACACAATCCAACCCGACCCAGTACTCGGACTTATAGACAATTTACCCCCTTTCACCTTTCCACTGTTTGCACCATTATTGTACCATAAAAGAAATTTAATAATGCATATAATGCATGAATTTTTAAATTCTCATTTTCCCCTAAATGATTCCAATGCACAACAATTCCCTCTTCAATAATAAGATTTTTTCATTTGGCCATGCTCACCAACTTAAGGTGTATATAGAAAAATATTTCAAATCACACCTTTTAACCTCAACGTTAAGCAAATACCTTCAAATTTATGTTTTAGAAATCAATTACGCAAAACCCCTTTTTATTGAACAATTTCCAAAACTAGGGTGTAACGCCCTCAAAATAATAACATTAAACCCATCAATATAGACATGAATTGGTAATAAAGATAAACATTCTTCTATTCATCAGAATAGTTTCTTACAAAAGTATTACATGTTAACAACAAAAGCAAATGCCCTACGGGCTTACAGCTTTCCAAGTTAACACTTGGTTACAACAAAAGAGTGCTAACTCATTTACACATTAAGCCCTTGGCTTGAATATACATGTAATACATCAAGAAATAAAACAACAAAAGTCTGCCTACCTCTAGCCTCCCAAGCTATGTCCTTGGAGGTGGCATGCTACCTGTACCTGAAAATGATATTCCCATATAGGGTGAGCCACAGCCCAGTAGAAATACACTAAACCAACCATGAACAATGACTAAAAGATTAGCAATTGATAGATGGCCAACACTAATACATTCACATAAATCACATATTTATGCCACACGACT